TTTCTAGTTTGAAATTCGAAAAATCATAGAACATCCTGACAAAAACACAAATTTTGTACGATGGCCATGAAATTTGCATAGATATAAAAACAATACCTATAGAAAATGACCGATTGTTGAGTCTTGAAAAAATTTGACCCGTAGACAATAACAGTTTTTAAATTCACATCTAGCCATATCAGGAGTCCCATGAGTTTTTTCCCGTAGATCATACTGAATTCTTTTGGTATAAAATAGCACCCAGACCACCGGGAAACAATCAACTTTTTAGTTTTACATTTTTTCTGAATATCTGAAAAATTTCAGAATGTTCTCCTTCAAAGCCACCCTTGCTATTTTCGCTTCCATTGCTCTTCTCTCTGGAGGATATGGTCTGAAGCTTCCCGTTGAAGACATTGGAGGATCCGTTGGAAATGTCATCGGAAACGGAAAAGAATGTGTCGGTGGAATTGTGGAGAGCCTTCTTGGACAAAGTCAGGAAATCATTGAAAACCTTTTGGCTACTATTGGAGGAGCACCAGGTGGATTGGGACTTCCAATCGTTGGAGATATCACAGAGCTTCCTGATTTCCTTACCGATTTCCTTGAGAAAATTCCAAAGAAATTGCTTCCGAAAGTTGTGAAAATCCTCTCTGATACTACGCTGACAGTTGAACAAGTAATCGAAAAGCTCACTAAACTTTTGAAAGGAAAACTGGATAAGGTAGAAGTTAATTGAATTTAAAACGATCATAATGCACTTTTCCAGAACCTCATCGCGAAACTCCTCGCTTCCGTAGCCGAACTAGTCGAGAAACTGCTTGATGGAATCGCCAAAATCTTTGGAAACCTTGGAAACGTATTTGAGGACATCAAGAAAATTCTAGATAACAAGAATCAAAAAATCGAGGATCAGAAAGAAGCAATCAATAAATTGAAGAAACAGTTCCCTATTGTGAGTTTCAAAAACTTTTAGAACATTTCGAATTGATGAAGAGTATTTCAGGAAGTCGACACAATCTTCCACATTGCTGCTCAAGTTGCTCTTTCTCTTCAAGGAAATGGAACTGTTGATCCAAAAGTTTCGGCATAATTTTTTAACGTAAAATCTTTTTGTATTCTGTATTTTGCAAATAAATATTTGAGCATCCACAGCAATTCTTCGAGAAGTTGTTCTTCAAAGTCAGAAATTTCGAATAACCTATTTATTTGGGAGTCGAAATAATGTATGAAAACCGTTCTTTGAAGATGTTAGACATCAAAAAGATTGGTCTTCGTAAGCAATCGTTCTGTAGCCGAATTGGCGACCGGGTACCTAAGCCGATAGTGGGCCGGCGCCTCTGATATGTGGCTTACAATCTCAACACATTCACATTCTAAGATAATATTTTAACGATATTTTATATCTCGCCACTTTCAATTAAGCAGGAGGAGATTGACTTTCAAAATATGATCAAAAATGTGCCTGAGTCTAGGTAGTGTTAAAACGTGATTTTTGGTCAGACTATGATGTATGCGGAACCAAATATCATATGTCCATGAAAAAAACATTAGTATTCTGGATGGAAGAGTATTAAAAATATGTTTCCACTGATAGTAAGAGTGTATTTCCTTGTTTTTTGTTGAACCATTCCCCATAAAATTATGCCAATAGATGACTTACATAGAACAAACTTTTTGTTGTCCCACACCCTTTAAACGAGGGTCGGTTTATCACTTTGACTCTCGAATAGAACGCTCTACTTTTAGAAACTCCTGTATTTGAAAGATTAACTTTTTGTCGATATGCTGGATGCTCGATTATTTATTTGCAAAACACAATATACAAAAAAGATTTTACGGTAAAAAATTATGCCGAAACTTTTGGATCAACAGTTCCATTGCCTTGAAGAGAAAGAGCAACTTGAGCAGCAATGTGGAAGATTGTGTCGACTTCCTGAAATACCCCTTATTAATTCGAAATGTTCTAAATTTTTCTGAAACTCACAATAGGGAACTGTTTCTTCAATTTATTGATTGCTTCTTTCTGATCCTCGATTTTTTGATTCTTGTTATCTAGAATTTTCTTGATGTCCTCAAATACGTTTCCAAGGTTTCCGAGGATTTTGGCAATTCCATCAAGCAGTTTCTCGACTAGTTCGGCTACGGAAGCGAGGAGTTTCGCGATGAGGTTCTGGAAAAGTGCATTATGATCGTTTTAAATTCAATTAACTTCTACCTTATCCAGTTTTCCTTTCAAAAGTTTAGTGAGCTTTTCGATTACTTGTTCAACTGTCAGCGTAGTATCAGAGAGGATTTTCACAACTTTCGGGAGCAATTTCTTTGGAATTTTCTCAAGGAAATCGGTAAGGAAATCAGGAAGCTCTGTGATATCTCCAACGATTGGAAGTCCCAATCCACCTGGTGCTCCTCCAATAGTAGCCAAAAGGTTTTCAATGATTTCCTGACTTTGTCCAAGAAGGCTCTCCACAATTCCACCGACACATTCTTTTCCGTTTCCGATGACATTTCCAACGGATCCTCCAATGTCTTCAACGGGAAGCTTCAGACCATATCCTCCAGAGAGAAGAGCAATGGAAGCGAAAATAGCAAGGGTGGCTTTGAAGGAGAACATTCTGAAATTTTACAGATATTTAGAAAAAATGTAAAACTAAAAAGTTGATTGTTTCCCGGTGGTCTGGGTGTTATTTTATACCAAAAATCGAAGTGGATCTTTGTAAAAATTTTACTCGTGTGAAAGCTTAAAGGATGATTTTTGATATGTTTCTGTGAAATGCAAACTAGGAATCTTTGCAAAATTCAGCGTTCTTTTTTTGTCTGGTAATAATTTCTAGTTTGAAATTCGAAAAATCATAGAACATCTTGACAAAAACACAAATTTTGTACGATGGCCATGAAATTTGCATAGAATAAAAACAATACCTATAGAAAATGACCGATTGTTGAGTCTTGAAAAATTTTGACCCGTAGACAATAACAGTTTTTAAATTCACATCTAGCCATATCAGGAGTCCCATGAGTTTTTTCCCGTAGATCATACTGAATTCTTTTGGTATAAAATAGCACCCAGACCACCGGGAAACAATCAACTTTTTAGTTTTACATTTTTTCTGAATATCTGAAAAATTTCAGAATGTTCTCCTTCAAAGCCACCCTTGCTATTTTCGCTTCCATTGCTCTTCTCTCTGGAGGATATGGTCTGAAGCTTCCCGTTGAAGACATTGGAGGATCCGTTGGAAATGTCATCGGAAACGGAAAAGAATGTGTCGGTGGAATTGTGGAGAGCCTTCTTGGACAAAGTCAGGAAATCATTGAAAACCTTTTGGCTACTATTGGAGGAGCACCAGGTGGATTGGGACTTCCAATCGTTGGAGATATCACAGAGCTTCCTGATTTCCTTACCGATTTCCTTGAGAAAATTCCAAAGAAATTGCTCCCGAAAGTTGTGAAAATCCTCTCTGATACTACGCTGACAGTTGAACAAGTAATCGAAAAGCTCACAAAACTTTTGAAAGGAAAACTGGATGAGGTAGAAGTTAATTGTATTCAAAATGTTCATAATGCACTTTTCCAGAACCTCATCGCGAAACTTCTCGCTTCCGTAGCCGAACTAGTCGAGAAACTGCTTGATGGAATTGCCAAAATCCTCGGAAACCTTGGAAACGTATTTGAGGACATCAAGAAAATTCTGGATAACAAGAATCAAAAAATCGAGGATCAGAAAGAAGCAATCAATAAATTGAAGAAACAGTTCCCTATTGTGAGTTCTAAAAACTTTTAGAACATTTCGAATTAATAAAGAGTATTTCAGGAAGTCGACACAATTTTCCACATTGCTGCTCAAGTTGCTCTTTCTCTTCAAGGCAATGGAACTGTTGATCCAAAAGTTTCGGCATAATTTTTTAACGTAAAATCTTTTTTGTATATTGTGTTTTGCAAATAAATAATCGAGCATCCAGCACATCGACAAAAAGTTATTCTTTCAAATACAGGAATTTTTTATGGCGCGTCCAAAGTTCCCAAATCTGGGATTTCTGGGCCTAGAAAACAGTCCAAAGTGACGCCCAGATTTTCCGATGCGTGTTTCTAAATGAAGGAACTTTTTTTTGAAAATTTATTTATTTCTATGTGCTTTTCTGCATGTTTTGATTCAATAAACAAATCTAAAACATTTTCTTGTCTTGAATTCAACTAATTACTAACTCGGTTTTTCCTTCATCTCCCAATTACTACAAATGTATGTCCCTGTTATATCTCCTAGTTTCATAGACATTTCACGTGTTAGTGGTTTTCTCCCCTTCGTTGAAATAAATAAATAAATGTTAAAAATAAAAAAATAAAAAATTACATTGTCGCACTGGTTCAAATTTTCCTCAATTGGAAATCTTGGGAATCTGGGCGTCACTTTGGACTGTTTTCTAGGCCCAGAAATCCCAGATTTGGGAACTTTGGACGCGCCATAAAAACTTTTGTTTGAAAGTTGAAATAATAATCGAAAACTTCTTTAAAGGATATGGAGTCTTTGATCTATGTATGTCATTCGGCAGCCGATTTTTCAACAGCGTAGCTAAGCTTGTAGCGGTAAAGACGTTTAGTTTCACAAAATAATGAGATTTATTAAAACTTGGGACGCAATTTTTCTTTTGAACTAGTTTAATGCCATTTGGCACACTTTAAAATACTTCTTCCGATTCCATAGTATCACAAAACAAATTTGTGAAAAATGGCTTATGTCCACAATGAACTAAAACAGTTGTCGTGTAGGTATGCAATTCTTTGAGTGATTTTACATGATTTTCAACAATCGGTATAATAGAAATCAGCTCTGCATATCTAGCTGGTCCATGAAGAGCACCGTGCTGTAGACGACAATACTGTAGAAGGCTGAATCCAAATTTGTTTCGTTCTTTTGAAAGCAAAGATTGAGCATGGGATGATAGAAAGCAGACCGCTGAAAATTGTCAATGGGGCGTATTTATACCAAAAGTTTTGGTCCAAAATGGGCTTTACCTGGATTACACATGACTATCGCCTTCAGCAACATGTATTCCACACGATCCAACTTATTTCTGAGCATTGTCAAAAATGTGTTCTCAAAAACGGGAACTATCTTGCCGCCAACAGTTTGATCTCCAATTTTAGTTCTGTTTGGAAATCGAAGACAATCCGACTTAAGGGTATTGATTGAGAAGAATGCAGAGTGAAGATTTGCACAAGCTACAGTAACATGTCGAGCTAGGATTAGCTTATCGTATAAGGAGATTTGATCATAGAAATCGAAAGTTTTGGAGTACTCAACAGAGGCCAAAAAATTGCAATGGGTGAAGAGAAGGAGAATCGCACCGCTGGAAATTTAGAAATGTGAAATCGAATAGAAAAGTTAGAAGGATTAGATGTAAGCAGTTTGTCTTTTCGACACGACTTCGAGAAATTTTTCGAGGCGAATTCATCTTGCAGTGGTGGCCTAACTTTTGAAAGTTTGGTTTTCTGGGCCATCACGTAAAAGTGGCTTGACCTGAACCTGGTGTGTTTTCTAGGTCATTTTGAACTGGTGGCCATGAAAACCAAATTTGCAAAAGTTAGGCCGCCACTTCAAAATGGCCTAAAAATGCCCAACATGACTCTGGTACGCTTTCTAGGCCATTTTGATGTGGTGGCCTAACTTTTGCGAATTTAGATTTCTAGGCCACCACTTCAAAATGGCCTAAAATGCCCTAACACCGACCCCGGACAGTCGATTGGTCGGTCGACTGAATCTCCCGGCCCATTGTAAGCCTAAATGAGATACTCACTTCTCATCTGTGAAGGTTTTTTGTAGATTTGGAATTTCCGAATTCACAGGAATCAAGCTAGAAGTGAGAACTTGTTCCAAACTTCTGCTATCCTGAATTTTCCAACAATGGATTGAAACATAGAAAAAAATCTTACAAAAAGTCCATCTGGAAAACCGGCGCAATGAATTCCGGTCAGAATTTTTTCCACGATGCTCAGTTTGGAAATTAATTTGTGCACAATTTCATTAGTGGAAATTAGAACTGGAGATGGCTGAAAATAAATTTCCTCTTTTTTAAATATCCAAAAACTAACTTTTAGTTGTTTTTGAACAATTTCCTTTATGTAATTTTCAGAAGTTTTTGTTGATTTATGAAGAATTGCTGTTGGATTCATTCCAGCATTGACGCACGCCTCGAAGCGACATCCACGGCAATTCAGGCGAGTGGAATCTAAAGAAATGATGAGCAATCATTGAAAAAAGTGAAATTCTCACCAACTGGATACTCGGTATAGAAACAGTCGTTTTCACTTTTGCATTTGAATCGAGTGCCGCTTAGAATTGTACGACGGAAAAATGATTTACAGCCATTGCAAGAAGCGACCTGAAAATTTAGATCACGTCGAACTTTCAGAGTCCATCGGATTTTCGAATTTTCAGAATTTCGGAATTTCAGAATTTCAGAATTTCAGAATATTAGAATTTCGATATTTCTCAGGTATTGGCAAGGTAACAATTTCGAAATTTTCAATTCTAAGTTATTCTCAACTCGAGATGTTTCCAATTCAGATGACGTCGAACTTTCAGTATCCATCGGATTTCAGAATTTCAGAATTTCAGAATATTAGAATTTCGATATTTCTCAGGTATTGGCAAGGTAACAATTTCGAAATTTTCAATTCTAAGTTGTTTTCAACTCGAGAATTTTTCAGATGACGTCCAGCTTTCAGAATCTATTGGATTTTAATTTTCTGAATTTCAGAATTTCAGAATTTCTGAATTTCTGAATTTCTTTTTCTTCTGAATTTCTGAATTTCTGAATTTCCGAATTTCTGAATTTCTGAATTTCTGAATTTCAAAATTCAAAAAACTCACATTGTAATGATATCCAGTAGCTGGGTGTCTACAAACTTTGCAAATGGTTGGAAATTTAGTTTTCGAAATAGTCTGCTCAGAATTACTAGAACTGGAACTGGTTGGCTGAAAAATATATTTCGCTGGGATTTTATTAGAACAAATCTTACCGTTAAACCCGAAATATTATCCTCGAAGTCGCCCATTTATTGGAAAATAGCACCGCCGTCAAAAAATTGTCGACGGAAGAAGGAAAGAGCAATCACACTGTCATTCGGAAAGTTTTATTTTAGTCCCTGCGTCTCTTCAGACCCTCTGACTCATTTTTATGTTTGTTGGTCTACTATTTGTACAAACCTCACTCATTGCGGTGAAACTGCACGGTTACGAATTTCAAAGGCACAAAGATTATTAAAATATTCTTTTTTTTTAAGATTGCTGAATAATTCTTCACTGAATAATTTAAAACTTCACTGAATAATTTAGTGAAGAAAAATTTGTGTCCATTCTGAACCAATACAACAGTCACAAAGGTGTGAAAGTCCTTGAGAACTTTCACATGATTTTCTACAATTGGTATGATAGAAAGAAGCTCTGCGTATCTGGCGGGTCCATAAAGAGCACCATGCTGTAGACGACAATACTGTAGAAGGCTGAATCCAAATTTGTTTCGTTCCTTGGAAAGGAAAGATTGAGAATGTGCAGATAGCGAGCAAACCGCTGAAAATTGTCAATGGAGCGCATTTACACAAAAATAAGTTTACCTGGATTGCACATGACTATCGCTTTCAGCAGCATATACTCCACACGATCCAGTCTATTCCGAAAAATAGCGGCAAACGAAGGTTCAAACAATGATACAGGAGGTTTTACGTTTTCCAAATCGGCATGATTTGGTTTACCAATTTGCTCGCCATCTGGAAACCGAAGACAATCAGATTTCAAGGTGTTGATTGAAAAGAATGCGGAATGAAGATTTGCACAGGCTACGGTAACATGGCGAGCCAGTTTTAGTTTATCTAGAAGTGAGATGCTGGAGTAGAAATCGAAAGTTTTGGAATATTCCACAGAGGAGAGAAAACTGCAATGAGTGAAGAGGAGAGGAGATGGCCAGCTGAAAATTTATATGGTCATTCTAAGGTTCAACGGTCGGCCACAAAGTCATCCAGCGTCGGCAAGTTTTGACCGGTCATCGGCCCGTTCACAGCCTGCCGTTGGCCAATCCGTAGCTTATAACCCTACCAGAGATGTCCGGAACGAATTTTTTGAGTAACGGAATCCGGAATCCGGACAAATAAAAATTTCACGGAATCCGAAATGAAAAAAAGCCCGGAATCCGGAATTCTGAGTTCTCCAAAAGGGCAGAAAAGTTCTAAAAACACATATCGTGCTTATTTTTGCATTTTTAGTAGCTGAAGTTCAAAAAAGTCAAAGAATTCTTGAAAATTAACAAATATGTTTAACATCCGGAATCAAAAATTTTCTCGGAATCCGAAATCCGGAATCCGGACAAATGAAATTTTCCGGAATCTGGAATACGGAATCTGTTATACGGAATCCGGACAAAAATATTTTTCACGGAATCCGGAATGAAAATAGCACGGAATCGGAATTCGGAATCCGGACATCTCTGAACACTACTCACATTTCCTCTTCCTTTGCTTTCTGTAGATTTGAAATCCGAGAATTCACAAGAACCATGCTAGATTCCAAAATCTCTTCTAGTGTTCGATCGTCCTGAAAATCTTCATCTTTTTCTATTTTTTCCAAAGCTTTAATATTACAAAGTATCCACTCGGCAACCCCTCATTATGAATTTTAGAGGATATCTTCTCCACTGCGCTCAGTTTGGAAATCAATTTATTTACAGCTTCATCGGGGAACATCAACTTTGCTCGAGGACCCGGTGATGGCGTAGAGGGCTGAAATTTCGGTTTTACAAGGAGTTTTGAAAGTTTAATTCACCTGTTCTGACGTATTGCTGTTTTGCTGCTCCAGAATTTTTTGCACCAATTTTCTGGAAGCTTCTGTTGTCTTAAACTGAATAGCTGTTGGATTCATTCCAGAATTGACGCATGATTCAAACCGACATCCACGGCAAGTGAGGCGGGTTGATGCAATCGGAAATTCCGTATCGAAACAGTCATTTCGACGATTGCATTTATATCGGATGCCACTGATAATGGCGCGCCGGAAAAATGATTTACAACCATTACAAGAGGGAACCTTCAATAATTGTTCAAAAAATCAATAATATCAGATTCCAAAATGCTCACATCAAAATGATACCCAGTAGAAGAATTTCTGCAAACTATGTAAAAGGGGGGGAAATAGACTTTTTGGCAGATTTTTGTACAACTGGACCTTTGATTTAGAAGAACTGGAACTTGGAGTGGGAGACTGGAGGTCAGGTAGTTCCTCGTAGCCCTCCATTCTTACGAACAAAGTATCGGTCAGGTGAAACGGCGAAAATGAGAGATTGCATTTGTAGATTGCCAAATTTTTTGTCTGCGTCTCCCCTCCGAGACATTTGTTTCTCTGATGCATTGTGTGTCGGTATGTGTACCCGAAAATGTGGTGCAAATGTTAGAACTTTCGATCTCGGGTTAGGTGGAAATGTAGAGAAGGAGTATGCAAATTTTGGCCGTTCCTTGACCCTTTTTAAAGTAAACAAAGCATATAATTTCATTCGGTGAATCCGTATGTCCCGATGTCTAGGAGTGGTGATTCATGAGACCGTACATCAGTGTTCTAGAATCCATTTCTAGACAATTGAAAAAAAAAATGATATACCGAAAAATCTTTATTTCAAGGTGGTCAGTCAAGAAAAATGTTTCGTTAAAAAACGCTATTTTCCAATTATATGCCTGTCCTGTCCTATCTCGCCTAACAAAGTTTGCAAGTCGTAGCACAATACTTTTTACGTTGAGCGACTGTGTAGAAAGGGTTACTGCAGAATCCATTCAAAGCCCATGCTGAACACGCAGCAGACGAGTTTGGATTATAAGTTGTGCACAATGCAGTAGTCGATCTAGTAGTAGTGGTAGAGGTTTGGCATCTTTGGCACGACTTCTGGCAGTAGGTGTTTACAAAGTCTTGTAGTCCGACAGTGTTGCAAATGGAGAGATCGTTGGCGCAGTCAGGAACAGCGTCGACGCATCCTCCTTGGCCACAAAATCCGCAGGCGGATGGGCAGTCTTCAGCGATGATAGTTCTCCAGGCGACAGAACTGCATTGGGAAGGGGTGATCGTTGCGCAATTGAGACGAGGGACTGAAATATGGAAAAAATGTGAAAAAAATTCTCTCGATTACTTCCCAGAAGACAAAATGACTTAAAGGTTCAGAGATTAAAAAAAAAGTTTCACTGTATTTGTGTCTTTATAAGCTCACCTATCAGGATGCCAGGCTGCTACCGGCTGAGCTACGCGGTCGAGAAGTATTTTCGGACCCTTAGATATAGGAATAGACCGGAAAAAATGACCCTTGGAGACTTAGAACGGTGTCCCAGTACTGAAAGTCTACCTAGGATTCGACGCTGTACCTTGGACGCTACTTTTCCCAACCACGCCAGCCTCTGACTGACATTCCACACAGTTCTTAGCCTAAACCCTCACATTGCACATTTTTGCAATTGTACGAATTTGTCTGACAACAATATCCACATGACTTTGGACAACTATTGAGTGCTGCAGTCTTCATATCGGCACTGAACGCTCCTCCTGACGTTTTAGTGATGGTGTAACAGTTAAACGGACGCTCAACGTCATTTCCAGGAGCCGGATACTTTCCAGCGGCTACTGGAGGGTAAATTATATCACAGGCGGCATCGGCGATGGTGTTGGAGCAGACTGTGGCGGATTGACTGTAGCCAAACTGAAAATATGGAGGTTTTGGAATTCAAAATATTGCATTTCTAGGATTATTACCGTTACGGGTGTTTGTCCAATGTAGGTAGTGCAATTTAGATCACCGACGATGACAGCGGAAGCTCCGGAGATTAAAAGGAGAAGAGCAATCATTTTTCGAGCCGAGTATGCCATAATAAGTGAAGTTTCGATAATCAAAGGTTTCATTTTATACTGGATTACGGTAGCACTGAAGAGTTTGAACAACTGGGATGTTTAAACAGATGTCATAGTTTCAAAAAATGAGATTATTAAACAAATATTATGAGGATCTGCCGGTTTTGAATGTTTTCTCAAGGAAAGGATTGTGTAGTTTGGTATTTGAGATCAGCTGATAAGAAACGATATGCTGATAAAGAGATTTATTTTTGTTATTGCTCCAAGAAAAGATATTTCAGGTTGTTTTCATGAAACCGTACTTTCTGCACAAACAAATAAGGTCAGAATGTAATCTGTACAAACAATGGGTGGGCTTGTAGTTCCCATAGGAACACAAAACACATTTTTTGGGGAAAATCTGAAAAGAAGTCATTGATTTTGAATTGTTGCAATTTTTCCAGGTTGAGTCAACGTCGTTTTCGCAGTTTTACCGCTTGGTTCCTTGTACTTTGCCGTCGTATTTTTTAAAAAATCTGAAAATTTTTTATTTCAGATTAAAGTATGATTTCTGGATGATTCGCTCTCACTTTTAAGAACTCTACCGTATTCCGAAACACAGCTCATCATGATAATTGAATCCAGAGCTGGGTACACTGTGAAACCACTTTGTATTATGCACGATGGAAAACTCATTTCTAGATCGGCAAATGGGACGTAGATCATGAAAAATACAGGGCAGAAGAGGATGATGGTAGGAGCGGTGATCTGGAAATAATTTTTTATTAATGGGCATACCATATCATACCGCACATGGTACCATATTAATGACACTTATTGATACCATTATTGCATAGTTCGTGGAGTCCATGGTATAGCAACCATGATAACCACGAGGTGTTCATAATATGGTATCCATGGGCGCCTACACTCATGGTACCTCAAAATATACTTATGGTACTATGAAATTCTATGGTACCATTAACGTTATGATACCTTGAAATGTTATGATAATAGTAAATTTTATGGAACCATGAAACGTTACGGTACTATGAAATAGTCTGTATGGTGCGGGATGTCCTATGGTACTACGTGAGACGTCAGGGTTCACTTCATTTTCATTCGTTCAACCCTTGGTAACCATGATTCATGATACCAAATGGGAATCATGAAATTTTTTTGATACAGGGTGCCTCGTGGTAACCCGTGACACTTCCCACATGCTATCTTATGGGAATCATGTTACCATATGGTAAAAATGGTACCCAAAGTATGAAAAAGATACCCTTATGGGAACCATGACACCATATGGTAAAAATGGTACCTACCTGAATCATCAATGCTCTGAAAAACTGCCGATGAAGCCGTCGATGTTGTGGAGAAAGTGCCGTGAGTTTTGTACGCATCCCAACAAACATCTGATGCCCACAAACGATAATAATCGAGTACTGTACAGTGGAAATCAGTGTCATCAGTGACAACCCGTAAACATTTCTCCAACGAATGCCGTCGCCTTCATAAGCGATGAGGCCAAGTACCGGAATCTCGGTGATGTTCCTCTCATAACGAAGCAAAATCTCATCACCCAAATATTTTCTTCCAAAACCATCCATCGCGAAAAAGTGACCCACTGCAAAGGCCCATAGGACACCGAAGAATGAGTAGTAGCCAACCCAAAGGAGATAAAATGCGCCGTTGAAGTATTTGAGCTTTGCTGTGTCGAAAATCGCCCAGTACCGGTAGATGAATTGTATGGCTAATTGACAAATGGTTGCAGAGTATAGGCCGGTATAAACTCCCATCATCCATTCGATTTGAAAATTTGAGAGACCCAGAGGACGCGACAAGCTAAAGTAGATCAAACTCGCGTTGTAGGTGTGGAGGAACTGAAATGGATCATGTAGTATAGCACCAAAAGATTTGAATTCTTCAAGTGAAAAATACCGCATTTTGCTGTTATAGAAGCCAACCCATTGCTTGAACTTTGATGTCAGTTATCTCTGTTCATTCGAAAGATACCCGAAAATTTTGGATTGATAAATGATTGATTATGATATCACCAATATTTTATCAGTTTGCAGATTTTTGTCATCTCTCATAGGAACCGAGATAATTGAGCTCAAAGTGCTCGTACGGGGCAACTTTAAATTCCTGAAAATTTAGTCTAGAAATTTTGCGATCTGTTTGAAAATTTCAGAGTATACTAAAAAAAATTAGAGCTTCATTTTTGTAATTGACAACTATTTTGTCAAATTCCATTCTGATGAGATATGTCGTTCGTAACCCGAAAATGCCAAAATCAACACTGAAATTACAGTTGTGCCACTTGAAAACCGCTTATCTCGCTCAATTGGATTTGTACCGAAAAGTTGTCAATTACAAAAATGAAGCTCTAATTTTGTTTAGTAGACTCTGAAATTTTCCAAGCGAATTGAACATTTCTAGACCACCTTTTCAAGGCCTCCAAAATTGACTATATTCCACCCAAAAAATCTGAATACAACGTTAAAAATACCGTATGAAACAAGAACTCAAAAGCGGCAAAAATGAAACCAAGGACTTGAAAATTGGCCAGAAGGTACTTGTATGATCCGAATTGTCTTTTCACATGGAACAAGGTCAAATAGACCAGGATGAATCCAAAAATCGCATTTGAGAAGAATCCGAGATTTCCCATGAAAATACAGTAGCGAATGTATGGGAGATACGCGGAACTCATTTTTTCCGTGATCTAAATAACTGAAGAAGTTGTATATACAAAACACTTTTTATACAGACTATATAATAATTTCCGGCACCGGTACACAGAAATTTCCTCAGACCATAGACAGTACTGTGTCTTTGAAAACGGTCAATGAACCGGAATTCAAAGAAATCCGACTGTTTTTTTGTTTAATGATCGACTGAAGGCTCAAGAAGTCTAGTCTTTTCAGAACCGGAACCAAAAAGAACATCAGATCTTGTTCAAAACCTTCTAAAAATAGAAATACAGTAACCTACTTTAGGCTTTTATTGGGAATCGGAATTTGCATTAGCAGAAGTACAACAATAAAACAACAAAAATGTTATTTTAAGCTGGTGTTTTATAATGAGTATAAAAGAGAAAAACTGGTTAAAAACTCTTTGGGATGTCTTCGGACCGGATATTAAAAATTTTATGGGGGTGTAGGAAATAATAGCACATGAATTTTTATTTTTTATTTCCAGTGATATATAGGTGTTAGACATCGGGAAATGTACATTGATAGAATGTGGAGGCGCAATAGATTAATGTCATTATTAAAATAATTTTAGCCAATTTTTGTCTGAAAACTTTTCTACGAACAAGTTTTCTCAATTGGGAAGTAGCAGAGTTGTCTCGAAAGTTCATATTATACTAAACAAAAAAATAACTTTTCAGAGACACACAGTACAGTCTAAAGTCTTAATATATTTCTGAGTAGCTCTACCGGAAATTGTATTGACTGTGTAACAGGGGTTGTACTATGTATAACTTTTTTAAACAAGTTAGAGGGCGCCCTAAATTTTCATGGCACAACGGTATTGTAGCGTAAATAAACAGCGGAAGGTTTTTGAAAAATCCCGAAAAAAAAGAAAAAAAAAATTCAAACAAAAAATGAAATTGTCTCTATTTCAAGGTTACTGAAGAAAATTGGTCCCAACACAAAAAATGGTCATAATAGTACCAGGAACTGAAATCTAAAACATGTGAGTCGATATCATTATTTTGAACAAAAATAATTTTTCGGGGTTACGGTATTTTTTTGCGCCCAGGATGGCGCGTGGCCTATGGGCACCATGGTCAAAAGTCTTAGAGTAGTCTCTTTACCCACCACATACAATATCAGACTCGTAGGACCATTTTGATTTTTCCCATTGCCATGGCGTTTTCGAGTTTTTGAGAGATTTTAAAGTGTCAAAAGTTGTATTTTAGTGTTTTGGCGTTTTCAGGGTTTTTGCAGTTACAAACGGCACAAACGGCTACACGCGTCTGTTGGTCCCCCTTTCAGTCTGTGGACTTTTAAAAAGCTAGAAAAGTTAAAAAAAAAACTTTGCGTGACCTTTAAGAAAAATTAAACTTTTAAAATTTATAAGTGGAGCGCCGAAACAGTATATACTAGGTCAAATCGCGCTGGAGGCGCACCAGCTAACTGGTCAATTATAATTGAATTTGGATAAAAATTTGTCAAATTGAAAATGTGGCATAATCTGAAATTTCCAGACAGATGAAAAGTTTTTAACCACCTTTGCAGGACCTCAAAGTTGACCACTTTCCACTGAAAAGGGCAAAATATGATATCTTTCATCCGTTACTGTATAAAATCATATTTCCAATTTTACATTTCCAAATTTCATGGATTAAGAATTGAGAGTCGAGGCCAGCCGCGCTCAATTCAACAATTTTCCGTATGCCCATTTGAATTCTTCTTTCTTAAAAAATTTGGTTTTTGGTTGAATACAATATAGTCTGTTTTTCTAGTCATTTTTCCCATGAAAAAACCGAGTCATGGTTTTCAGGCACTGTGAGAGTATTTCGTAGAAAATATGACTACGAATATGGCCTGGCAAATCACCTGGCTAATCAAATTCACTCACAATATCATTCGAATCAGAACATTTTTTGATCTAGTTTGATCTCAAAAAGCATCTTACCAGAATTTTCTAGTTATGACATGACAAGTAATGGTCACATTTCACTGACTCTATTTTCTTATGGGTACCCTTGGTGTGCTCTCATTAGAGAATGATGCTCAAATATATGTACATTTTGGTCTCCTGATGAACCAACATCTCGATTTGGAAACTTTCAATTTTTTGGACAACATTTTCAGTCACGTTTTTCAGGCTGAAAATGTGTTCGCAACTATTGCCTTGGTGTTTAACACCATTAATTTTTTAATCTCAATTCAGAAGTCTCTGAGAACAAGTTCCATGAATGTTCTGATTACTGAAATTGCATTTTGCGATTTGACAGCTGCTATCTCAATTTTGGGAAAAGGAATTTTGACATTGGCATATTATAAAAACCCTTGCAAAAACCAATTCAGTTATTTTCATCAATTAACTTCTCAAATTCTACTTTTCGCTTCCGAAAACGCGGTTCATATTTCTTTTTGGCTCGCCATATTCCTGGTACTCATTCGATTGCTCATCCTTAAAACTGGCTCTAACAATCTCTCTAAACCTTTCATCGGGTTCATTTTGTTTTTCATAACTGCTTTTGTAAATTTGGGTGTTTCTGGAAATTTGTATAAAAAAACGACTGTAATTCCACTAAAAAATTTATGGAAGCCATCACCGAATTGCTCAGGTTATCCGGAGGGATATTCAGAGAATGAATACTATTTTAATTGGATTGAAGAAGAAAGTTTATCCTATCCGAATACATACAAATGGTTTGTGACCATTTCTCAGATGAGCTTTTTTTGTTTTATTTGAGAAATTTGAAAAAAAATATTCAGACTGCTATAAGTGTGATCTATCCTATTATAGCACTATGCCTCTACGTGCTTATCAGGAAATCAGCAAATCGAATTTCGGATTCAAATCGAGATAAATTTTTGAACAGGTGTTTCGAATTTCCAGAAGATTCTATAAAAACAATAGTACCATATTTGCTCCAATAGAAGCTAACCCTATGCGTGCACTTTGAGCTCAATTACCTCGGTTCCTTTGAAAGATATCAAAACATTTTCAACTGATAAGATGTTTATCATACTATCACTAAAACTTTATCAGTTGACAGATTTCATATATCTTTCATAGGGACCGAGATAATTCAGCTCAAAGTGGAGCATATACGATATTATTCTTGTTCAGCGCAACCTTGCAGCCTAACTATAGACCAAAAATTATGGTCGATCGAGCAGCGAAGACACTACGGTATTTTTCAAATTAATGTATGTATGTGCCTTTAAACCGTACCTCACCAATATTTTGATTTTTTCCTTTTTTTCTTCAATTTTTCGCTAGTTTCTGTCAATTTTTGTATAATTCTTATTAAACTTTAATATAAACAGCCAATTTTGGTCCCAAAACATATTAATTGTGAGATACGGCTTAAAGGCGCATGCATTAATTTAAAAAATATCGACCGACAATAATTTTTGATCTATAATTCGGCCGCAAGTTTCATCGGCGCTGAAAAAGAAAAATATGTAATTTACTACAAAGAAAGGTTTTCGAACGATTTTTTAAAAAGTTCGTTTGCCGTCTAAACTTATAATCTCTGTTGATCTAAAACTTCTAGAAGAATCTCTAGAAAATTCTTATTAAACAGAAGTTCCTATGTAAGTTGGTCACTTTTTTGTCACATTTCGTTGACTTTGTTTTTCGGGTACAATAGTGCTCATTAGTGAATTGTGTCAGTTTTTCTTCCAAAAAAAAATCTAAAAATAAAACTTCAGAAGCCTAGAAAGCTAGGAACCTAGAAATTCGAAAATTCGGAAATTCGGAAATTCAGAAATCTGGAAATTCAAAAATCTGAAAATTTAGAAATTCAGAAATTCAGAAATTCAGAAATTTAGACATTCAGACATACAGAAATTCAAAAATTCAGAAATTCAGAAATTCAAAAATTCAGAAACTCAGAAATTCAGAAATTCAGAAATTCAGAAATTCAGAAATTCAGAAGTTCATAAATCTGGAAATTCAAAAATCTGAAAATTTAGAAATTCAGAAATTTAGAAATTCAGACATACAGAAATTCAGAAACTTAGAAATTCAGAAACTTAGAAATTCAGAAATTCAGAAATTCAGAAATTCAGAAATTCAGAAATTCAGAAATTCAGAAATTCAGAAATTCAGAAATTCAGAAATTCAGAAATTCAGAAATTCAGAAATTCAGAAATTCAGAAATTCAGAAATTCAGAAATTCAGAAATTCAGAAATTCAGAAATTCAGAAATTCGGAAATTCAGAAATTCAGAAATTCAGAAATTCAGAAATTCAGAAATTCAGAAATTCAGAAATTCGGAAATTCAGAAATTCAGAATTTCAGAAATTCAGAAATTCAGAAATTCAGAAATTCAGAAATTCTGAAATTCAGAAATTCGGAAATTCAGACATTCAGGAATTCAGAAATTCAGAAATTCAGAAATTCTGAAATTCGGAAATTCAGAAATTCAGAAATTCGGGAATTCCGAAATTCGGAAAGTCAGAAATTCAGAAATTCAGAAATTCTGAAATTCAGAAATTCAGAAATTCAGAAATTCGGAAATTCAGAAATTCAGAAATTCAGAAATTCAGAAGTTCAGAAATTCAGAAATTCAGAAATTCGGAAGTTCAGGAATTCAGAAATTGAGAAATTCAGAAATTCAGAAATTCAGAAATTCAGAAATTCAGAAAGTCAGAAATTCAGAAATTCAGAAATTCAGAAATGCAGAAATTCAGAAATTCAGAAATTCAGAAATTCAGGAATTCAGAAATTCAGAAATTCAGAAATTCAGGAATTCAGAAATTCAGAAATTCAGAAATTCAGAAATTCAGAAATTCAGAAATTCAGAAATTCAGAAATTCAGAAATTCAGAAATTCAGAAATTCAGAAATTCAGAAATTCAGAAATTCAGAAATTCAGAAATTCAGAAATTCAGAAATTCAGAAATTCAGAAATTCAGAAATTCAGAAATTCATAAATCTGGAGATTCAAAAATCTGAAAATTTAGAAATTCAGAAATTTAGAAATTCAGACATACAGAAATTCAGAAACTTAGAAATTCAGGAATCCGGAAATTTAGAAATTCACATAAGCCACACGATTATATGAACATCTTCTGTATACCTCTATCAAAATTAAATTTCAGAGTTCGTACCAACCGACTAATCCTATATCTAACCCTATCGTATCTCATTTGCACTGCACCGCGTAGCTGTATATGGCTAATTCAAGCATTTGTTCGAATAGCTAAAAGATCTGTTCTGGAGTTGCTCGTTGGTTACGGTAGTATTCTAGTGTCCGTATTATTTTTCCTAAACACTTCTATTCAACTTTTAATATGTTGGTCGTTGTCGTCAAACTATCGAGAAGCTGCTAGAACGCTTTTTAAGTGTGAAACGGTGAAAAAAAAATTAAAATTCTATTTTTTTAAAAATTATTTTCAGATACGAACCGAAGATGTTACACCAACCGTATAAATGAGTTTTATGAATTTATGACAATAAAATGTTATTTATTTTCATTAAAAAAATTATTTTGATTAAAAAATCACAATCAAATTCTTTTATAACAAATTCAGTGATGGTGACAATTCGGTCTGATGGTAGAATTTGATACTGTGATTCCGATGGTTTTCTGTTTCTTCAAACGCAGCAGCGATTTTGCTGTTTCTCTATATTTTGAAGACATCACAAAATTGAGAAACGAATGAGATAAAGAATTGAAGCAGAACAAAAATGTGATAAAAACAGGTTTAGGATCCAACAGTAAAAATATCACATACTCGTTTGTTGGAACGATTAGATTCATAAAATCCAGAAACCCATAAGGACCACAACATATCACATATAGAATCGTCATGATCAGAATCATTTTTGCTGAGCGAAGTCTGATAATTTTAATATTATATGTAAAATTTCATTTTTCAATCACCCGATCTATTCGCAAGATGTATTCTCTAAGCCAAAAAAATTTAAAGTCTAGAAATGATCTAGCTTTCACCTAGACTGTTTTCTAAGCCATTTACTGTAGTGGCCTAGAAAACTCATCGTGCAAAAATTAGGCCACTATGTTCAAATGCCTTCGAAAATACACCGGGTGAATGTTGAGCCATTTTCGGACCATCGGATCAACAATGGTGGTGACTGATTCCTAACGTTTACCTGTCATTTAGGCATTTCCTGCTGACCGTGGAATTCCTACTGGATTTCCAAATCAACAAAACCAAAAGAATCGCTAAAATTGGATAGATCAAACTAATCAATATTTGAGAACCACCATGGCAAATTTCCAACATTTTTAGCTTGTTTATCAATTCCATGGTGAGCATTGGACATCCGGACTTAGTGATTCCTGGGAACGCGTTAATTCGAATTCCAAAATAAAACAAAGCAGTTGACATCAAAGTTATAGAAAATACTATCATCACTATAACATATCCAAAATCGGGCCTTGAAATCGATGTGTTTGGTTTAGGAATTTTCATGATTATCAGTCTTATTAGTGCCAAAAATACACCAAGCCAAAGCGATGAATGTTCTAGAAGGTCCCTTTGCAATTCATCCATCCACTGACTATACTCGAAAGCATCGATACACTTTGTAATTGGCTCAGCGAACCAGAACTGATAAATCTTATCATAAATAACTACTGATAACACCACCAAATCACTGAAAGCAATACCCATTAGTATAGAATTGGTACTGGAAATCCTCATAAGGGATTGGCATAGAATAATAAGATGAGCAATGTTCAATAAAATTCCTGAAATTGCTAAATAGAAATTTATGACATAAATTTTTGCTGCTATTTGTTGCAGAAGTGAATTGAAGTTGTCTGGATTCATTCTGGAAAATCCTTTTATTTTTAATGTTCTGGGAGAAAAAACTAAGTCAGAATTTTTAATCAGAAATCATACAACAAAACCGTGATGAATTGGAAAGCAGAATTTCCGAAAAATGGAATTCCAAAAAACTGGAACGAAAACGCAAACCATGTTTTGTTTTGAAATGAAAAACAAAAATACGTTATGAGAATTTTTTGAATTCATTGGAAAAAAAAGGAGTACCGGGAAATGAAAAGGTATTTTTAATCTGAATTCGGAAAATGACATTTTTGTTGTTCGAAAAAAGAAAACTTTTACGTTTTTGTAACTTTGAGATATTTTTATAACTTTGAGTTTTTGTAACTTTGAGATAGGGTTTTCAAATTTTTGGTTTCTTATATATTGACTCCTAGGAACGCGATAATTCGAGTTTCGAAAAAAAAAATAAAATAAGAAGAAAATAATGTTATCAAAACAAAGTTATCACTATAAAAATATCCACAATTGTGTTTCTGAAAACAATTTTCATTGTTTTTTTGAATTTTCATGATTATTGGTCTTATCAGTGCCAAAAACAAGTTAAGCAAAAAACATTGAAGTTTTAAAATAGCTTAATGTAGTTCACCTATCCAACGAGTACATTTCAGCTAGTTTTTCGGCTCTTCCATGCAAAATATCAAGAATGTGTCAATTGATAAAATATTTGTGACGTTATGATAAGCAATTTATCAGTTGACAACGTTTTGTCATCTTTCACAGAAACTGAGAAATATTAGCTCAAAGTTAGATGTTGGGAGATCCTTCTATTACAGGTTTCACGATATGTGTGGTGCGGATTTTAGCAAGTTGATAAAATTACATAACATTTATTATTCTTGAAAAATAATCACATTTATGAGATAACTCAAATTTTGGTAATGGTCCAATTCATCTTCCGACTATCTGATCGGTTACAATCTACAACTTTAGATTCTTTCTTCTTTCGCATTGTCCAAAAAACTAGAACTGCTTCAATGGCACATCCGAATAGTTTTGTAACTCCTCCATACGGACCGATATTCTGTTTAAAAATGTTTAAAGGAAAACGATAATTGATTACCTGGAAACTGAAAAATTGAGTTGTCGAAAACTGTCTTGCAATGATATTTGGCAGAAAATGAAATATAAAAACAATGGATGACTCAATAAGTGCAAGACGATTGACCTGAAAGTTTCAGATTCTTCATGATCGAAAAATAGAATTAAGCTCACTCTTGTAAGTTTGAATCCTTCAGTTTTCATCATATTGTTAATGATAAACAGTTTGATACATAATAGCGAAGAAAATATAAAAGTCAATGCGAAAACTGTCTGAAAAAAATATAGAATCTGTACTCGAAAATTCTTAAAGGATCATACCGATTTATGAGTGGTCCAATAGCTATAAAAACAAGCATTTATTGCACAACCAAAAGCTGCGCAATTTTTCGGAATATTCAGATGAAAGTCGCAGGGTCCGTATAGAACCACGTCTTCAGTCAATCCGAATAACATTGCTAGCAAAAGAAATATGATGTTCGGACAGCGGTGGCGATAGTTGTGAAAGAAGATTGGAGCATATGCAGCCTGAAAAAAAGCAAGTGCGCTCTACTGATAATTCTTAAAACCTGCTTACTATCATTCTTTCAATTGCCACTGATAGTACTATTATAGACCGACATGATCCAACATTTGACGCTGATAGCGATAGATAGAACATGAAATTTTGATATTCAGAAAGGTGCTTTGAAAAATATGAATACAGTACTACAAATAGTAGGTAGGAGCCCAACAGTACTCCCAGAATCACGTCCACAGTGAATCGGTAGTAGAATAGAGTCATATCGTTTTTCTTTCTGAAATTGAAGGAAATTGAAATTTTGGTTTCTAGGAAAAAAATTCACCTTAAAATCTCTAATAGTTGGTTCCCGTCACTTCTAACTTCAAGTCAATTTATCTCGGTTCCTGTTTGTGTCAACAGATAAAACTATTATCATAATATTTTTTTTTTGTTGCGCCGAAAAAAATCAGCTTAAACTTGACATTGTAGGGGACTACTATTACAGATCTTACGGTATATGGTAACTCACCTCGTATAATTTTTCACAAGATTAATGTTCATGAAACTTGTGATAAGAGCAGCTACAAATCCCAATGTAGAAATTGTCACCGCCGATGGATTAATTTCAGGTTGCTCAGATTGTTGGGACATTCCTAAATAATATGAAAAAAATTTAATTTGATTTTATCGCAATTCAGAATAATCCAAATCTTAGGTAGACAACTGCGTTCAAAAACTTTACAGCGGAATTTGGGCTGATGCGTCTTCAGAGAAAAAATGAGGGAATTTTTTATAAAGTCTCTCGGAATTTGTCCATTTTTTTAGACAGTAGTTAGTTAGAAATCATTGCAAACCGACTATCAAAATCTCTTTACCGCGAAACCTTTAATAGAAGGGCTATCAAGTTCGAGCTTAATTATCTGAGTTTCTAAGTAAGATATCAAAAATGTGTCAACTGACAGAATACTTGTGCTCTTATAATAAGCAATTATCAGTTGACAACGTGTTTATATCCTTGGCAGGAACTGAGATAAAGGGGTCCTTCTATTTCAGGGTTTACGGCAAGAAGTCTTCAATGGGCAAATTGGTGGAGATGCTAGTCTTAAGATTTCGTTATATACTTTCTTTGAAATATGTTTTTGGAAATAATTCTTTGTTTTTCAGATGCGGTACTCAGAAGGATGAAAAATAATGAATTAGAAAACAATGGGAGTATTATTCAGAGAAAAATTATTTTGAGGTTTCGAGAATAATTTTTTAAATGAATTTCACATAGGAAATGTCTACATTCACACTGGATGATTCTATGAATGGGAATGTTTGAAAAAAAAAACAGACAATCAGCTGAACGTAGTCTTTTCACCAAAGTTAATTAATTTTACTAATTTTCAACTGAAAATTTCCTGCTTGGATGTTTGAAAAATCAGAGGAAAACTAGACTTAGAGGAAAACTAGAGACAACCGAAAAATAAAAGACAACGAGAGGCAAGATTAAGGAACGCCGGAAATAGGCTATTAGAATTGATAAGGGGCACTCAATAATTTAATCTGTGTGTGCACTTTTGCAAAAATTGCTGAAAATATTTGTTAGAGAAGTTCTAATTCTTATAATTCGCCTTAGCCATTTGCCTCCTGGGTAGCGAGACGGCAAAAAAAAAAACAGAAGGGTTCTCAATAGTTGAAAATTTGAAAAGTTTGGGACAAAAAAATTCAGCTTTTCTGGCAAAAATGCGTACCGTAATCACTCATATAGAATAACTCCATAACTTATAACATTGAGCCAATTTATCTTGGTTACTGTGAAACAGTGTGCCTTATCGACACAGAATTCCCACTTTTGTCGACACATTTATATGACAAAATATCAATAAATTTGCCGATAAAAAACGGAAAAATTTTGTCGATAAATTGTCGACAAATTATCGGTAAATTTGTCGAAAGCAATTCATCGACAAAATTTTGTCGAAGGGTGCATTTGTCGACAAATTATCTACAAAAATTGCTATTAACCACCGGAATTACTCGTAAAAAATTGCATCTCCTTTTTTTTCTAGGTCATCTGACTTGGTGGACTAATTTTCCCAACATGAATTCTCTAGGCCACCAACCTTTTGGGGCTAGAAATGGTCAGGTATTCAACTGGTATGTTTCCTAGGCCATTTTCATATGGTGGCCTAACTTTTGCAAGTTGAGTTTTCAAGGCCACCAACCTTTTTGGCCTAGAAATGGTCAGATATTCAACTGGTATGTTTCCTAGGCCATTTTTACATGGTGGCCTAGAAAACTCAACATGCGAAAGTTAGGCCAACATGTTAAAATAAGCTAAAAAACACACCAGGTGAACAGCAGATCATTTCAATGCTAAAAAAATTCGTGGCCTAGAAAACTCATGTTGGCAAAATTAGGCCACCAAGCCAGATGGCCTATAAATTTTGCCTGGGTAAGTTCGGTCATCATTCTTGACGTCCTAGGAAAAATAGTAACGATACGATTTTTTACAATTCATTCCGGCAGTTAATAGCAATTTTCGTCGACAATTTGTCGATGAATTTGTCGATAAATTGCCGACAAATAGCATTTTTATCGAAATTGTCGGTAATTCGTCGATAAATTTACTGGTAAATTTGTCGATAAATTTGTCGAAAAGGGCGTTTGTCGACAAATCATTTGTCGATAAGGCACACTGCTGTGAAAGATATCGAAAAGTTGTCAACGGATAAATTGTTCATCATAATATCACAAACATTTTATCAACTGACAAATTTTTAATATCTTGCACAGGACATGAGAAAAAATAGCACAAACTTGACAGCTCTTCTATTACAGTTTCCCCGGTATGAAGTACTTTTTTGACAACTGTCAAAAATGACTAAATCTTGAAAATCCTATCATAAAAGCGTCCGATTTTTGTTCTAAAGGTTGCAGGTCACAGCTGAGAAGCGGGCAAAAAAAATTTTTTTTGAAAATTTCTGATTGGAAAAAAAAGGAAAAAATTCCGGCAAAAAATAATCATGATTTACGTCAGGGATTTTTTTCGAAATTAAAGAAAACAAAAAATTAAAAAATTGAAAAAAATATGATTTCTGAAGAATGAACGCATTCTTTCTGAGAATTTGAATAAGAAAAAATTGAAAAGTTTTGAGAAAATCCCAATGTTTGTGAAATGAGAACAAAAAGTTGAGCAAAGAAACTTTTATTCAAGTTACTGTATGTGATACAACTTTTCTAAATTTCCGAAAACCATATAACTTTTTGCCAGTTTCTCGATATTTTGAAGACATTGAAAAATTCAAAAAACCATGAAAAATCGAGTTCAGACAAAATAAAATAGTTGTAAAAACTTCTCCTTTGTCTACCAGAACCCATAAATACTGGTTGTCCGGGAAGATGAGCGTCAAAAAATCCATGATACCATATGGTGCACAATAGATGAAGTAGAATATTGTCATTATGGAAATCATTTTCGCTATGTGGAGCCTGTAATTTTGGTTTTTGAAGGAGGTGAGGCATCAAAAAATTTTATGGGATTGTTTGGGGAAAAAATCGCGGCCGCATAGCTCAGCCGGAAGCGGTGCTGAACCCCTGATGTTATTCATGAGTTCAACTCCTTATTAAGGTGCTCTAGGCAAAATATCTTCAAAAACTTTTTCAGGAAAAACTTACCTTTTCAAACGCAGATTTTTCTGAATCAACTCTTTGGCAGATTTTCGTATTAGATAGATCAAGGAAATGGCTAAAACCGGGTGAATGAGAATAATCAACAATTGAGTTCCTCCACTGACCAATTCCATTATTTCTAGTTCTTCAAAAATGAAAAACGAAAAATTAACTTTAAAATAAAAAAGAGAAGATAACGTGATGCTAATGGAATAAACAAAAAGGACTATACAGTAACCACATGCTGGTTTTGATATCCATTGATTAGGCCTTGATTTTTTCAGAATCAGTAACCTCAAAAGTGCCAAATACACTCCCAGCCAGACGGATGTTTGCTCCAGAATGTCTCGTTGAAGCTCACGAATCCATAGCTCATCTCCAGATGTTTTTTCGCAGATAAAAGGGGGAAACCAGATGGGTTTAATTTTATCAATAACAATAACGGATAACCTTATCAAATCACTGAAAGCGATTGCAATCAAAATATAGCTTGCGCTACATAGACTTTTGACACAAAATTGAGAGTTGTGAAATGTTGATGAGAATTCCAGGAATTGATATAGCAAATTTTACAGGACATAGAAAATTTGCGATTCGATCTATGAGATTGGTAAACTCGTCCAGATTCATTTAAGAAATAAAATGAAGCGATAGAACGGAAATAATATTTTTAGGTAAGACTATATAGTGACAAAAGGTAACTAATTAATTCTAGCGAATGATTTTTGAGCTGAACATGAGAATTATGTGATGTGATAGGAGAATTAACAAAACAAAAGGAAGAATTGACGATGGGAAAGTCAAATTTCCTAGGAAGAGGGTATGAAGGATGAGAGAAAGAGTGTGAGACGTAAGGGAGTTACAAATCCCGAGCGGACATTGTTCTTCGAATCCGATGACGGATTGATGAAGGTTGAGGTCATTCTGAATGTAGAATGTAAGGTTCAGGATCTGAACGAGCTTAAAGAATAGTCAGTCAACGCAAGATAAATATGAAAAGTCTGAATTGAGGCAGAGGATGGTGAATGAAGATGCCAGCTAGACCATTGTTGGCACTTGAAAGAAAATTCAATAGGATAAAAATTGATCAGAAAATGAAAGAATTCAACAGGGAAATCGGAAGACGGAAAAAAAAACTGCCGGAAGTTATCGAGAAAAAAAAACGAAAGAACAAAAAAAGCGAGAAAAAAAAGCTGGAAGAATGAGGAAAAGTGCTGGAAAATGAGCAAAAATGTCGTTATTCAGCTAGCGACGCATCCAAACTTGACTCGGTGCCAAATTTCAAATCGAGGTTAACTTCTGTGATGACGTGCAAACTTGAAAAGCAGCTGGAAATTGATTTTTCCGCAGGAAAAACATCGGATGTAGTAAGAAGCCGAAAAGTGATCAGAAAAATTTCAAAAAAAAAATAAGAAAAGATACCAGCAAGTTGAATTCTATCATCATTGATCTGAATTAATATGGACGCTCCAAGTGTGTACGATCGCTATATTGCCAAATTTCGGGATGAGAAGGCAGATCGTTTAAAAGCTAAACTATGAGCGAACTATGAGCGAAAGCTTCAAAAGAGAATTCTCGAAAGTCCAAAATTGGAAATGTTGAGCGGAAAAGTGGTCATTGAGGAAAGAAGAACGAAGTTGAATGGTCCAAAGGACTTTGATGTGGCCAATGTGGATCAACTTGAAGGCAAAGTAGAGCAAAGTGGATCACAAGAAAAGAAAGGAAATTCAAGAAAAGAACAAACGGAAAAATGCACCTTTAGTTGCTTTGTATCCCACAAATCGTGAAACAGCCCCAAGTCGGCAGCAGAAAAGTTTGCGTTTCTGATCCAGGAGAAACGTTGCACTGTGTGATTCTCGAAAAACCACCATTCTCGAGAATGCAAAAATATGCCAGCAACTGTTTGAAGCGCCGGAGGCGCGGCAAACAGGCTGGTAAACCAAATACACTCTGAAAAATTCTATAAAAAAAGTACTGGAATTCTCAATTATCAGCAAAATGTTCGTTTTTGTTGCTGAAATGTAGTGATTTTCAAAAGTTTTAATTTTGGGAAAAATATTCCGAAAGTGTTAATATTTCTGTTATATTTGTTGAAAAAACACGTTGCTCCCAAAAACTTAACGGTCCATCTTTTGGGAGATTCAAAAGATTCCCGTGGCTCACAAATTTTTTTGAAATTTCAGTATTTTGATGTGAAAATTAAAACTTTTGAAATTCACTACTTGTTATATTATGCTAGTAACCTAGCTAAATTGGCTCAAAGTTAAGAGTTAGGGCTAAGGCTTCCATTTCGGTCGGTCGAAAATCGCCGACCGATAGCCGACCGATTTTGTGCCTTTGCGCATCGAAACACGATTTTTTGCGTACGAAATACTTTATTTTACGACAAACAAGGCACTTAGTGAGTAATTTGTCGTAAAATACAATGCAGCGTATGCAAAAACGTTGACACGCAAATGCACGAAAACGACCGGTTGTCGGTCGGCGGGGTCGGTGGTCGGTGGGTCAGCTAAATTTCCCGACCGAATGGAAGCCTTATTAGGGGCCCTCCTACCGCAAGTTTCCGCAAGTTTCACCTAAAACTGACATTTCTATTTTTGATGATCTGAATGTATGAACAGTTTTTTCCGAGATTTGAAACTTGCATGATTCCCAGAAAACAACAAAAAAAACCAATAGAAACTGATTTATTTACAAGTCGTTGAAGGTTTCGCTAATTCAACCGTGTTCCATGCCCGACAACCATACAATTGTTTAGCAGTTTCTCGATATCTTGAAGACATTGAAAAGTTCAAAAAACAATGAGAAATCGAGTTCAGACAAAATAAAATAGTTGTGAATACTCCTCCTTTGTCTATCAAAACCCATAAATATTGATTTTCCGGGGTTAGGAGAATTACAAAGTCCAGGATACCATATGGTGCACAACAGATAAAGTAGAATATTGTCATGATTAAAATCATTTTTGCCGCGCGGATTCTGAAAATTTAAAGAATTATTTTGAATTAAAATTTCAAAAAACTGGAGTGTGTCTCAAAATGATGTTTTTTTTCAAATAAATAGCCCTTCTATTATAGGTGCTCTTCAATTAGAATGATTCTTCTAATACAGGTTCTACGGTATCCAATATTCGAATTTGAACAGTTTTTACGTTTAGAACTATTTTAAATTTTATTCATTATGAACGAAACTTTGCGTAGGTGGTGGCCAGTGTGTCCTTTTGACACGACTTCGAGAAATTTTTCGAGGAATTTCTCGAATTTTCCAAAAATTGTTCGAAAAAATTTTCGAGACGAATTCATTTTGCAGTGGTGGCCTAACTTTTGCAAATTTGGTTTTCTAGGCCACCACTTTAAAATGACAGAATAAATGAGAAAATAATGTCAGCAACGACGAAAAACTGAAAAAAAAGTCGCAAGCGACACTCCGAAATTCCGCATCGCGCATTGTTTAGCACATTTCACGAGAAAATTCGAGGAATCCGTTCCTCGAAAAAAAATTTCGAGGAATTTCTCGAAAATTTTTTTCGATAAATTTTTTTTCGAAAAGACACACTGGTGGTGGCCATACTTAGGAAAATGCTGAATGAAATGAAATTAACTTTTTCAATTATATTTTTTGTATTTCCAGAAATTTGAATAACCAATTTATCCTTCAAGCATTACGATATAAGAAAAAACATGTTGTTGATTGGCTTGCTGGATTCTTAATATAACAAAACTCGAATTATGACCCCACTTTTGGGCAGAACCAAAAATTGACCTACCGTTCGCTATAACGTCTTTTGAGAACCAAATCTGAAGTGGAGTTTTTGATTAGATAAATCAGAGAAACGGCTAAAACCGGATAAATGAGAATAATCAACATCTGAGATCCTCCACTGAACAACTCCATAGTATCCAGCTTTTCGAGAAGTCTCTCCGTGACCACAGGACATTTCGTCTTCTTTGAGAGATTGTTGAAAAACACTAAATTAACTTTAAAATAAAAAAGAGAAGATAACGTGATGCTAATGGAATAAACAAAAAGGACTATACAGTAACCACATGCTGGTTTTGATATCCATTGATTAGGCCTTGATTTTTTCAGAATCAGTAACCTCAAAAGTGCCAAATACACTCCCAGCCAGACGGATGTTTGCTCCAGAATGTCTCGTTGAAGCTCACGAATCCATAGCTCATCTCCAGATGTTTTTTCGCAGATAAAAGGGGGAAACCAGAGCTGACTAATTTTATCACGAACTATCACTGATAACCTTATCAAGTCATTAAAAGCGATTCCAATTAGAATACAGCTTGCGCTACAGCCTCTCATAGACTTTTGACATAAAATTGAGAGTTGTAAAATGTTGATGAGAATTCCAGGAATGGCCACACCGAATTTTACAGGATATAGAAAATTTTCGATTCGATCTATCAATTCGGTAAACTCGTCGATTTCCATTCAAAAAAGGAAATAAATGGTGTGCAAAAACAGGTGAAAAAAACAGAGAGAAAAAATAATATTTGCTAGGTCCTGTTAATGATATTTTTCTTGTTAAATAAGATTTTCTATAGAACAGGTAACAAATTAATTCTATCAAGGTTCTGATTATGTGAATGAATGAGATGAAAAAACACGAACATTTGAGATATTTGATTGAAAAAATCAAACCAAAGTTTTCATGGGAAAAAAGAAACCAATTTAGTTCGAAAGATGGTATAGAACCGGGTTGGTTTCCTTTTATCAGAGTTACAGTGGAGAACATTAATGAGCGCCACTCTATACTTTTGTTCATAACTTTGCTCAAACTTGTCCAATAATTGAAACCTATTTTGTTAAATGTAGCTGGATTTCCAACAAAACTTTGTATGAAGTTTTTTGAAACTCAATCAGTTTTTGTGTCTTCTGAATCTTCACAGTCGTGACGATGACTCCAGAAAAAAATTTCCGTCAGGATTTTTATAAAGATTGGCTTTGTTATGAAAAATATTTGGTGTAGATCAAATATACACGGAAAAAAATTTGCAGCGATTTTGAACACTTGCTCATGAGATGTGCTCACTGGAGCATAGAAGGTATGGTTCACGAGTTTGGCTATAACTCGGCTCAAAATGATCCAAATTTGCTCAAATTTTTAGAGAATGTGTGGTTTGAATTGCTCTACAATATACATACAGAACTTTGTATTTTGCGAACAAAAAATTTTGCTTGTTTGTTTTACCCGTTTCTGGTACACAAAAATGAAAAAATTATGAAAAAAGTCGGTGGCCGGACCGCCTACGAAATTCCCTGCCTAAACCGAAGCATTAATGCAAGAAACTATTGATTCCAGGCATGCAAACAACATACCAGATATTTTGTTTCTAGAAACGTTGGACGAAGACTTGGAAGTTGTTGAAACATATGAAGTGAGGGTATGTCGCTGTAGGTATGAATGTTCCATTTAGATTATTGTGTTTCAAACATGTTTTTTCTGCTGTAAAAAGCCAATCGAACTTCGTGTTGGATACATTATTCGACGAATGGACCAGGGCTGGGCGAGCAATGTGCTTTCACGGGTTTTGCAAAATACACATTTTGCAAAACACACGTAAAGTGTAGAGTAAAGGCGCACAGGCGATTTCGTCGATGGGTCTCGACACGAAAAAACGAACAACGGTCTTAAAAATTTAATTGGGATTTTAAAATATATTTTTAATAGTATTGTTCGTTTACTTCCTTTTTCATGTGTTTCGCATGATTTTTTAAACATAAAATTTGTCGAATTTCGCTAGAATATATCGTTTTTCAAGGTTATTAATCAAAATTGTTAATCAAAAATTACTGATTATTAAAAATTTTAATCAAAATCAAATCTACTCGAATTTCGGCTCGATTACCTGAAAAAAGGGTAATTTTGAATAAAAACTCAAAAAACGATATATTCTAGCGAAGTTCGACAAATTTTATGTGAAAAATGATGAAAAACACACGAAAAGGGAAGAAAACGAACAGTTTTGTTTTAAAAATCTTTTAACATTCAAATTAAATTCTTTTCGTTTTTTCGTGTCGAGACCCATCGACAAAATTGCGTGTGCGCCTTTACTCAACACCTCCTATTGTCGGAATAAAAAAAGTGAGACTCGGTGTTTGCGTACTTTGGATTCCCGCCTCCCCCCGTGCGACGGTGCGGCCGTTCTCATATTACAGGGGTTAGGGGATTTTTCTCAAAAATGGCACTAACCTTAAATAAGTTCCATGATCCGATTTGA